ATCAGCTTTCCAGGATAACGCTAAGGGAACGAAAGAGAGGTTCGACGCAGTTGGTTTGCTCGTTCTCCTGTGATCCTCGCACAGTGACACGTGTGACGCGGACGTTTCAAGCTCCACAAATAACCCAGCATGCAAATTTGGCAGTCCGAACGGAAGTCTGCATAATTCTTATCTTTTCATGTGCATTCAATGCATTTATAATTTACTGTTTGAAGTAATTGAGGTTAGGCTGAGCAGGGTTCCCTGGTGCCAGTCCTGAAGATAACCAGTGCATATGATTTGCGCTAGTCGATCCCTGTTAATTTCTGTGTCATATAGCTTTTGCACAATTGGGTGCTGGTTGGAATATGGTGGACTTTTTGTTAATGCTTTGTTATTGTTGTTCGTGCGCGTATGGCATTTGCATGAGGAAATGTAATTGATTACTAATTGTTCCGGTTGGGACAAGTTTTTTTGGAATCTTCAGATGGATTTCTTATTCGTCCGCAACTTTTTCACGATTTGTCGTCCAGTAATAGGGGGGAAAGTGATGCCTTATCAACCCGGAGCTGTGCTCGTCCGTGAGCGATAACTCTTTTATTTTGTACACAGGGCTGGCGGTCAGATGAAGTGCGTCCGCTTAAAGGCACAGTCTTTGCTTGTGATGTGCGTGTGGCTATAGCGGAGCAGGTCAAAGAAGCCCCTATGGCAAGTTTCCTGGATTTTTTGCAAATCAACAAAGACAAGGTTTGTTGACTGTATTTGCTTTTGTTATACGGTATCGTAACTAGCGAGCGAGTGGTGCGCAGGGAGGTGCGTGTAGTTCGCACAAATGAGTCTAAAACGTAGGCCAGTCCAGGACGGACTCTTGGGGGACGTTTAGGGAGGGGAGATCGGCGGGAGGTGGGAGGGAGAGTGGGGCTCCCAGGGGACGGGGGGAGAGAAGGCAGCGGGGTATGGGGAGAGAGCCCTCTACCACCCTGGAACTGTGCAAAAACTAGGAATAGAGTTGCAACACTGCTACTTGGAGTTACTTTAGACTTTAGTTTACTCTAGTTTTAGCTTTAGACCCGAGCTTTTGCAGCATTGTGCCTATACCACTATGAGGGGGAGGGGCGAAAGCCTCTTCGCCTTCCTTTACTCTGGATCCGCCTGTGATCTAAGAGTGATCGACAGTCATTGGCGGATTCGGGGCAGGAGGGGGAGGGGGGGCTGGGGGCGAAGGGTCTTTCGCCCTTCCCCCAAAGGCTTAGGTA